TTTCAAAAACATTACGTCATCCATGTGTCTGTCCTCTTAGTGATCATAGCTCTCAGCCAATCAGAATGTGTTATTTACGTGAGTTGTTGTAAAAATGTAAATTTTCAAACTCGTTCCCAGGAAGCCACGTTTTTCAGGCGACCATGTGACTGAAAAAAGAAACATGGCGGACAAACATCACGCAGAAGTTTTAACCAAATTTTCTTAATTTTTCAAGAAAAATACATAGTAAATCGTCCTCGAGTCGTCTCAGAGCTAAGGAGAGTTATAATTTGTTCTATGACTAATTTCATATAGCTGAAATTTGACAACCTTTTAGAAAAATATGGCGAAAACCAAAGGAGGTAGAAAAACGACCAAGACGAAATCAAACGATAATAATGGAAGGTTTTATAGACGAAAGCAAAAGGACAAAGAAGATGAAGAAGTCCAAGTTGTACAGGTAAGAATGCATTATATAGGTCTGGAGTTCAATGCCTATAGGTTGATTTCTACGCTTTCTGAAATATGTTGATGTAATGTACGCTTTATCGGTCATAATAAAGTTTTGGAAAATGTTCTGCTTTAGGTCAAAGACTTTGAAGATGAAGAGGATGATTGTGATGATGATAAATCAGATGATGGTGATGAAATAGAGAATAAAGAGACTAGAAAACTTGTCACTCAGCAGAACAGGAAGAAGAAGAAGTCTGGAGGATTTCAATCAATGGGTATGTAACTCAAGCAGTGGCTGTGAGAAACACTGTTGGGTTCTTTATAGCAATACTTCTTGTTACATTAGAGACTTTGTTATTGGTGTACCAAATGACGTCTGCTTGGAGATATAAATGTACTTATGATCGTCTGCATATCAAAACACTGATACAAGCCCATCCAATAGCCCCTTTGCAGTTAACGGTCACGTGTCTGTACTGGTGAGCAAAATTTTTGTTTTTATATTAAATTGGTGATTCTTTTTAGCTACTCGTAAAAAAATGATTGAAACAATGTGTATCCATTGTGTTACGAAATGTAGTTTTATTACGATCTCTTTAAACAGGTTGTAGAAAGTTTGTTTGCTCTCCAGTAAATTTCACCCATGGGAATCAAGATGTTCATTCATTTCAGCGAATTAATCAGCATGTGATTGCTTAGCTGCAAAGGGACTATTGGATCTGTGATTTAGCTGTGTTCTTACTTTAATCAGCCTGGGTTGATTCAAGGTTTTCAGGGTTTCATCTGTGAGTTAGCCGTGCCCTGACTTAGATCAGCCCAGAGGTTGTTTCAGGGTTTGATCTGTGAGTTAGCCTTGCCCTGACTTAGATCAGCCCAGAGGTTGTTACAGGGTTGGATCTGTGAGTTAGCCATGTCCTGCCTTAGATCAGCCCAGAGGTTATTTCAGGGTTTGATCTGCGAGTTACCAGTGCCCTGACTTAGATCTGTCCAGAGGTTATTTCAGGGTTCTATCTGTGAGTTAGCCGTGCCCTGACTTAGATCAGCCCAGAGGTTGTTACAGGGTTGGATCTGTGAGTTAGCCGTGCCCTGACTTAGATCAGCCCGGAGGTTGTTTCAGGGTTTGATCTGTGAGTTAGCCATGTCCTTCCTTAGATCAGCCCAGAAGTTGTTACAGGGTCAAATAAAAATGAACTGAAACAGACCAATGCTTTACAAGTTAGCTAATGGGGTGATTTACCAATATGGTAATTTTGATGTAACAAAGGAATAGCACAATCATTCAAATTAATCATTACAAATTAATTGTAACTACAGTGTATTGGATAAACTATTTTCTTTCAGGTCTTAGTAATCCTGTCTACAGGGGAATCATGAAGAAGGGCTACAAAATACCAACACCAATTCAAAGAAAGGTATGATATTTACAGTTTTAATCCATTCTATCATATCACATTACTTTATTATTATCATGTGTAAAAAACTGAGTTTGTTAATCAGAAATCATACCTTGTACATTTTGCAAAATTTTCAAGGATGTAGGTCCAGTATGCTGTCAATATGACTACTTCAATAATACAGTAGCCATCTTGGATCTCAAGGCATTATTGGTCATTTAGGAGTTAGAGTTTTAGGTGTTTGAGTAGTATCTGGGTATCTGTCATGGCGACCGGTCACGTTTTGGGAGTGCTCCCACTCTTAGGATATTTTTATGTTTTATCGAGTTTACTGGTACTTGAAAACCAACGTACTGTCTATGTAAATACGGGAGAATGTTTTCTTGGACAGACCAGAAGCAGTGTATGGATCTCAGGAAGTATTTCAAGCAAATTTTTCACAACGAAGGGCCGAACAAGATATGCGAAGTCGAGGGCATCTTAGTACAGTAACTGCTCGGCAACTTTTAACTACGAGTACCTTCGACTCTGTGGCGATGTAAGCACAAACCCAGGGCCTCAGTCAACTAGAAGGATTTGTACGGAATGTGAACGGGTAGTAGCTCGAAATCATCGGGCAACTCGGTGCGATGGTTGCTCCTTGTGGACTCACATTAAATGTGGAGG